TGATATGAAGAGATACGAGACAAACAGTGAAACTTTTGTAATAGCATGATCACGGTCGATGCAAAAACAGATGTCCAAAGTAAATAAACCCTAAAGGTAAGAAAAAAGAATTCAGAATAACTCCTCAAGAAGCTTTCTTCAACCCATAAGGTGTAGAAGATAAATATAAGAGATATTCAGCAAGCCAAGTCCTTTTCACCCAAGAACTAATCGTACAATAATTAGACTAGTAACGCACCGATTTTAAAAACAAAACATGGGATTGATTCGATATATAGAAAACGTACTTGGTTACTACATTGGTGACAAAATATCCTCCCACAAACGCGGCAGTGGTGCTTTCTTCTGATTGCAGTAAAACGGCTACCACATTCAAAGCAATGNAATGGGGACAACTTTGATCAAGCATCCAATACCGGCGATCTGACGGCAGTCTGTGACCTTCGGTTTTGACACTTTCATGTTGAAACAGAATTGGTTGTCTTTTGATAAAACGAGCGTTGGAAGTCACCGGTTGATCACAAGATGACGTGTCATCCAAAACGGAAGAACAGTTTGGATTAAATTGATTCTAAAAACAGGATTTCAAACAACAATTATCCATCATAAGGATATATATCGCTGATTTGGGAACGCGCATAATTCCAGCGCGATAATAATGGAACTTTAAAGGGTGGATATAAGTACAGATGAGGGAAATGAAAATGGAGAAAAAGGTTAGGGAAAACAGAAACAAAAGATTGGGTTTGTCTCATTTTGATAATTTTGTTTTCAATTTCTATGGGGAAGTGAGTCTTCTTCATAACTCATTCATCCCCAAAGCTAATGTTCGGGCATTTAACCCCCATTCCCCAAGGGGAGTTGGCCGAAAACCCTGATTCCAAACCAAACAAGAGGAGGAGTACGAACCACACCCACACCTTCCGGGATGTTACAGTGGTCACCGGCTCGATTAGACATCGAGGTGTATTGGGCACCTTGGACATTTGACCCCGTCCAAAGGGAGTATGATCCGATGAACTGGACACCGGCTCCCAATGGAATGCTGGTTTCACACAACACCCCGCTGCCTTGCGGGTCAGGCTTTGGCTAGCTGAAGGCTCCGGTTGTGGATTCCTCAAGAAAATCCACCTTCGGCCCGGGCAACCTGGCAGTATTCAGCCCATGTGCAAATGGTGGAACGTTTCTCTTTTTCATAAAGATTGTTGTACCATTATTTGTTTGACACAGTCTGGCGTCAGACTTATGTAAACTATAATATATTAATTCAATGGCTTCTGCCGCGTTCTCTCACATAAATCTCACCAACCGCAAGTTGCAGACCATGCGGCTGAAACTGCGATTCCCTTCTTTCACTTACTTACTACTTCTGCACCATAACCCGAATAAAAGTGGTTCTTCACACTTTGATATTTTATCGGCAAACATCGAGAAAATCGTTGAAGCAAACTCCAAAGCTCAGGTCACACTAGGATGATTTTAACGTCCATAATACTCTTCAGGAACATTTATTTTACCGTTCCTCTACTGAGTTCATTAGAACACTAATTTTACTTGATCCGAAGTTCTTTTTCAACGAATGCATTTACTTGTTCCCCATTTTGTCAAACCCATTCTGCCACCTATACAACAGAACTCTAGAGCAGGGCAGGATACCACAGGACTGGAAAACGGCAACTGTGGTCGCCTAACACAAGGGAGGACCAAGACAAAAGGTGGAAGACTATCGTTCAGTTAGTCTCACGAGCATCATGTGCAAAGCGCTAGAGCGAATTATCACAACCCACTTATGCAAATACCTCACTCAGCACCGCTTGCTGATTGCGGTACAGCACGGGTTCCTAAAGGGAAAATCCTGTTTTAGCAATCTGTTGCACTTCTTAGATGAAGTCACTGCGAGATTGGATGAGGGTAAGGAAGTGCAAGTATGCTATCTGGACTTAAGCAAAGCATTTGACTTAGTATGTCATCGCTTACTTTTGGTCAAGATAGGGGATAAGGGGTAACATACACAAGTGGCTAACAGCTTTCCTGGCCGATCGGGCCTTCCAGATTCGGGTCGGAGAAGCAAACTATTGTCAGCAGTGCTTCTCAAGGATCAGTTTTTGGTCTACTCCTTCTCTTGCTCTACATCAATGATCTACCTGAACACCTTGGCTCGCCTAGCTATATACCTACAGACGACGTTGAGGTTGTAGGATTAAATGGGAGAGCGGAATTAGGGAGGGACATAGGAGAAGTGATCAAGCGGTCAAGTATATGGGATTTGCCTCTCAACATAGGGTAGAGCCATGTCTTGACCACTGGAGACGAGGGGCTGATAGTGGGGAGTAGTCATGGCGGTTTTTC